TGAGTGGTTCGATTCTCCTGTCATCAATTTAAGATTTCTGCAAAAAATGAATGTTGAAGCATGCAACAGGTAATGTTTTTGCCCTAGGGGGGAAATAATTGGGGTATCCTGACATTAATCTTGCACTACTTTTCCACCAAAATTGATAAACATGTGTGGCTATGTTTGCTGGATGCTATAGTAGTATTGAAAGAGAAAATAATAATAATAATAATAATAATAATAATATACACAGCTCTGGAAAAAAATTGAGACCACTCTATATTTTTTTAAAAATTTGAATTTTTAAATCCTGGTTTAATGCTCGTTTTGCTGGCAGAAGGCTGTGTTGAGCAGCAGGTTGCTTCCAGGCTCAAAATTTCTAAGACAGCAGGACACAAGAACAGGAGACACTGGGAATGACCCAAAACTAGCCAGCTAATGGGCGGAAGCCCCTGGTTCCAGAAAAAGGTTCTGGCAGTGTGAAAGTGCCTATTGATGTCTTCCTGCTGTTGTAAAAAGACCTCCTCAACATGCCAGTGTCTACTTCAGAGAAATCAATAATTCCAGTACTTACATTTCCTTTGTTTACACTGTCATCTCCACCTGGAAACAAGAAGCAGTGATTGATAGACAGGATTGTGATATTACATACTTCTGCTCACACGAGGGACTGTCCTCACACACAGCAATATGTACACTAACCCAGCTGAGATTTCAGCATTTATCCATGGGTGATTCAGCATCATGGTTTAAGGTTGAATCTGCTGAATTTTGTTTCGATTTTGAAATTTGAATCAGAGTTGATATTGCAACATGGTTTCATCCTGATATGAGTGAATTTAGCTTGTGGGAGTTTTACTTATACAAAAATGTTGAGGGCAAAAGGAAAAATGATTCAGAGAAATAATCAATCAGATTATAGAAGAGGTGGGGTTAAACAACTAGATTAGGCGGGCCAAAACATCTGATTGGTTGACCCCACATCCTGTAATTGCTTAGCCCCACCTCTTCTACAATCCAATTGGTTATCTCACTGAAGCAATCATTTTTCCTTCTGCCCTCAGAACATTTTTGTGCAAGCAAAACTCCCATGAGTGTGAATTTATGTCTTGCATCAATGCTGAATTAACATTGAATTAAATATTGATTTTTGAAAATGAACGAATATTGAAATTGCAACTCTTGAGTCTATCCCTGATAGCATAGGGCCTGGATAGGCAGGAGGAGGTCTGGAGCAGAATGGCAGGCCTTAGAGTACACAAACACACACTGCAAGCAATTTAGATGAGTGAATTCATCTAACTACATGTCTGTCAAAGGACTTACACAGAACGACAGTGGAAACCAAGCCCCTAACCCTGGAGGTGTAAGGCAACGATTCAACCCACCAAGCTGTCGAAGGGGAACCAAAACCTTCCATTAATGTAGACCTATCAGTGTCAGTGTGGTACTTTATTTCTTCAAATGATCCTGTCAGTCCTAAAGTTCCTTAGGAAGGAAGTCATGGAGACTATATCTGGGGTTTTATTATTAACGGATTTTAATACATGCCGAGAAAATAAAAGCAGAGGAGAAGCAGGGATATAATAATATCGGCAAATAATAATTATAATCATTATAATAAAAACATTGTGGTTATTGTACAGGTGGGCCTGTCCGTCAGCTTGTTTCTGCATTTGGGATCAGGACCACTGGGTACAAGTGAATTTGGGCGTGTCTCAATAGTTATAGGGGAGAGGTTAGACATTAAGCAGCTACTGTACTGCAATATATGTACGGTACTCTATAGCAGTTAATATGTGTACATGTAATATACACATAAAATCACAACACTTTATAATAAAAAGCAATACACCCACTAACGTCCACTTTCAGGCGTCTCTTGATCAGCGTATGTTATTTACAAAGGACCTTGGACGCAAAAGCAATTGGACATAAGTCAAGAGATGCCTGTATTTTTAATATATATATTTTAATGGTCTTATGATCTGAATATTAAAAAATGCCACTTAAATAATAATGATGTCCTTAATAATGTAAGAGGCAGGAATTTCTTTTGTACGTTGTAAACATTACGTCGATTCAATGTAGAGATCTCGTTAAAATTTCAACATTGATTTAAAGTATTTTGTTAACCTTCGTGCAACCATTAGCATTGCATGCTGCTTCAACGTTTTTCAACTACTGACATTATTTCAACCACATTTCAGCTTTGAAGGTTGGTCGCGTGCCAGCTGGGGATGTGCAAAAGTCTTGGTTAGTCAAGAAGACAATGTTTGTGTAAAACTATGTTATCAGCGCAGCCATTTCAAAGCCTCAACTCCGAAAGTCACCCCAGTATTTGCATCAATCATCCAATAAACCCAAATATTTTCTTATTCGACAGCCCCCCCCCCTTTTGTTTGGCTAATCAGTACCTCCTGGAGTTATTAAACTAATTTAGTTAATTCACTAACTGAACGGGTGGTGAAATTTAACAAACACATAGAATAGTTACGGTGCCCCTGAGGAGATGTTTGGGAATCAAATGCAGTTTTCATCTAACCATCCAACAAGATGGAAGGAGAAATTCTTGTTTTTTTTGTTACTGTTAATTAGCATATGTTCTAATGTTAAATTATGTATATTTTCCTGAGCAAATATGTATACATTTACTACCCAGATAAATAGCCTTAAGACTTTTGTATAGTACTGTATATTTTTAAATGAAATTATGTCAAGTATTTTAAAATCCAGGTTTTCAAAGGATTGTACATCCATACAGGGTCGAAGTCTTTTACTTGCACATACCTGATGAAATATATGTTAGTCGCTGCTATATTTTTTCCTCAGGGTTTTTGTTAGATTATTCTCACATCAGCAGAGACCCCCGGAAAGCATTTAGCGTATATCACCCTACACAAAACCCAAATCTGGAGCCAGATGTCACTGACTGACATTTGTATGAGAGCTGCTTATATTTCACTACAAACTTACCACCTGCATCTTCTGTCCCTTTTCTGAAAATACAAAAAAACGCAACATGTAGTGCATTTATAATATTGCTGATATTCACAAACAAACTATCACTTACTGTTGTAGCAAGACAGAAAAAGCTTGTAACAGAATGGCGAAAGTTTGCCTGCTTTCAGTACATTTTCGGACCTGTCGCAATAATGTTTTACTACTTTTAAGCTGAAGACTAAATTCGAAGCCAAGCCACGTTGTCTGGGCTTGGAAAAGCTTGCAACAGAGAGAAACTGAAAATTTGGATGGACAACCAGACAGTTGGGAAAATGTATGAACAGAGTCAAATGATGTTAGTTTACCATCGAGCAAAATGATTTAAATATCCAAAGCAGAGTAGTAACACAAACCGTACTCGGCCTCTACATTAAAGCTACAAATGAATAAGCTATGAAGCAGAAGCTGGAGGGGTCTCCTCCTCCCTCTGCAGTTAGGCTGGACAGCTTCACTGGATGGATGGATGGAGCTTCACTGCAGAAATGTGTTGCTGTGTCGTTCGGTGCTGACCACACCTGGCATCCATGCTTATGCTGTAAAGGTGGCAGCAAGCAGCTGGAGCTTGGTTTGACTGTGTGGCTTATTGCCAGTAGCTGCTAAGGAAACCACAGACCCTGTCAGCTTGCAAAACCCGGCACGTAAGAACATTGCCGGCAAATCTACAACAGACTCTAACCCTCTGTCTCAACGTCTATTACACAGCCAATATATCACCACTCTTTCTCCTCCTCTACTCATCTCTTTCATGCTTGTTTTCTTTAGTGTCTTTTTCAACTTACCTCTTTCCCCGGCATAAGCAGCACCCCATAATCCTTAGGCGAGTTCAAAGGTCGCAGTTTTCCAGGTACCAAGGCTGCGGCGTTCCAGGAGTCACCCAAAATCACGATGCTACGGATTGTAGCCTCAACGGCAGTTAGCGTCCAAAACAAAGTCAGAAAAGCTGACAGCAGAGGCAGAACTTAATAAATGGAAAGAACGAGAGGGCAAGATTAGCCGCAGTGAGTGAGAGAGAGAAGGAGAGAGAGAGAGAGAGAGATAATGACACGATAGGGTGGAGGATATAGCCAGACCAAGTGTTTGTATGAAATACTTCCTGTAGTTGCACTTTTTTGGTTCAATGATATGTACCTCTGACTGCTCAAACACACACGCACACGCACACACACACAAGAAGTTCAATTTATTTGTATCATAGGTTTATTAGGTTATGAAGGTTCATTAGCGTGACATATACAGGTGGCAAATAATGTGCAAAAGTTAGCAGTTTAACAAATTAACATGAAAATTAAAGGTAGATATTCAACATAACACCTGGATTCCTGTGACCCTATTAACACAATGTCCACAAGCCTCCCCACTCATTCTGTAAAAGGCAGATACAAACTGGGCCAGCACCACATGGTTCTGCAGGTCACAAATACATATAAATAATCACATGCTCACAACTTAAAAACAAATTCATCACTAAAAGTAACAAAAAAAGGAAAATATGTTTGTGATCCAGTTAGTAACATGATATGCAAGACAGACAAAAATGATATTAAGGATCAACTTGTTTCCTTCAGCGGCTTCTCTAAACAGGAAGTGAGTCGCTTTTTAGCAATTGTATTTCCTGAAGTGGGTAAATTACCCCCCAGACTGAGACTAAAACATGCAGTAGTGTTGTTCTTGTTCTATTTTAGGAATTCAATCTGCCATGTGTATTTATGGAAACTTTTTATGTATTGAAGGCTGTATGTGCTGTCACTGTCCATCTGACTTATAGGAAGCGTACGCTAGGCCTATATAGTGACCAAATCTCAGGTTAGAGGCTCCATCTGCTGGTGAATGAAGGAATTGCGTGGGAGAAATGCTTTGCGGTGGATGAGTTCAGTTCAAATTCAACATTCCACTCCGTTGTCAGTGACCAAAAAGGAGGAATGTTTTACGCGTGTAAAGTCGTAGGCCGGTTTTATTTTAGTCCATCCCAGGCCAGCTGTCATGCATCCGGCGTGACACTTACGCTTTCAGACTCTCACGCTCACGCAAGAAATCTTACGGCAAATCTATATTATTCCATTATAAACCTGGAATAGCTCACAAACTTGGGTAGCTCGCAAACTCTACAGACTATTTGCAAGGTAATAATACTCTTACATACATATACTGTAAATGTGTGTGCAGACTTGAATTGAATTGAAACCACAACAACCAACAACACCAAAAACAGGAAAGTCGACCACCGGCACTCTGTCACAGAAATGCAGTTCATTTCCTATCACCACTAAAAGTGTTTCGTTTCCCATCAGAGGCAAGAAGAGCAGCGTTGTAGCTGCCACATGCCGCGCGGATGGGGGCTTGTTAACATGTGCTTTGTTTTCTGGGTCATGAGGATCGTCTGGGTGCATCTCCTATGCTTCAACGAAGGTAACGGAACCTACAGCGGATGCCTAAGCCGCAATTAATTACTCATTACCAATCTGGATAAGCTCACAGTGGTTGTTTCACTGTCTCCCTTTTGCTTTTGTCAAAGGACAGGAAATTACTGCAGAAGCGTTGACCAAATCACCATTTATAGGTAATATAATAAATGTATTAACCATAATGCTGAGTAACAATTATGTGTTTGCCTTTTTTTCCTGATTAACTGCACCAGAATAAGCTCCCACCGTAGAAAATCATAAAGTACTACGCACAGTGAGATATATTTTGACCAGTTTCACACACAGACAGATGCACATGATGTAAAAAACTGAAATTATGCAGTAGCAGCTAATATGATGTATGAACATGGATGTTTTTAAGAGGTCTAATGGTCTGGGCTGCTGAATTTGGTTTAATTTTTCAGATTACAGGAGCATTTAACCTGAGTTATTGGTGTGGGATGTAGCGTTAATATGACAAAGTGCCATATTAACACTGGAGGAGACGATTTAATCCAGTTTTGGATTAATCACATTACACAAATAAAAGGATTTTTACACGTTATTGATACAACTATTGTGGTCATAGATCAGCAACTCTATACTTTCTAAGGCTTAGTGATACATTGACATAATTTTCACTTTTATTATGGAAAACCAATGTATGCAGTTACTGTCTCACTCTCGCGTTTCTATTTTCAGAAAAGAGGCATGAATTTTTCGACCTGAACAAAGATGCTAATATAACATGCAGCAGTAAAACATGGCGAGAGATGATCTACAACATCTGGAAAGTCAAAGTGAAGGGGAAGCACTGCTGCATGGCTTTTCACATTAACGGGAGTCACTATGACACATGTGAGAATGGGATGGAGCTGAGGAACGGAACCAGCGGAGAATCCTACCTGCACATTCCTCAAATCACTCTAGGAAACCAAGGAGTTTATCTCTGTGAGACGGCTTACTGGGGAGGAACCTATAATGCAGAGATTACGGTATCTGCAAGAGGTGAGATAGAAATGGCTTAGAAGGGGATGCGGGTGCTGAAGGTACCTTCTATGGATACTTTAACACAGAAGAACCATCTTGGTTCTTGAACCTTGTACTCGGTTTTGCCTCAGTGCCTCCGCAGATCTTCAGCAGGCTGGATAAGCTCCGCAACGGGACAGTGGCTGTGTGCTCAGCTGTGGGGGGAAACCCAGCGGCCTCCATCTCCTGGAGAACCTCGTGGAATTCCACAGTGAACCAGATCTCCACCAGCAACCCAAACGGCACCTACACTGTGGAGAGCCGCTTGGTCCTGCCTGACCGTGTCTCCAGAGAGAACCTGAGCTGCATCGTCACACACCCCAGCTGGCCGGGGGAGAACAAGGAGGTACCGCTGCCTTGGGGTAGGTGTAAGGTGGCAGATTTACAATCAATGGGGCTGTTCTCTAAATGCACTTAACTAACATTTATGTCAAACATTGATTAGCTTTAAACACGATAAACAACCATAAATGCTAGACTGGAATTAGGAGGTTTTGCCTAAAATGCACATATTTAGTTCTTGCAGGATCCATGTCAGTCTTTGGATTGCAGTTCAACGTCCTGATGGTCTGCGCTACTTTGATGCTGTTTGGAGTTGTGACTTCATGCTACATCTTATGGAGACCTTCCAAACCAATGGGGTATGCTGGGAAATTATTGTCTCTTAGCTGTTAAGCTCCACCAGCCGTCACTAATGCCAAGCTAATGCTCACACTTATACCTGCAGTGTTTCTTAGGTGGAAATTTTCAAACGCAGTTATTTAGTCTGTCCATGGTTTAGTCATTCACCTTTTAGCCAGGGACACACACACACACAGAGTCGTGTAATCATATCTTTGGGGGGACCGCTCATTCATTTCAATGGGAAAAATGCTAATGCTAACTATCACAACCTTAACCCCTACCCAGCCCTAACCATAACCATAAGTAACCAAACAAAATACAAGAGTTTTTGCATTTTTAGTTTTTTTCATTGCAGTCATTGGTTTTTATAAAATACATATGGCAGAGGTCAGTAACCTTTTTAAAGCAAAGAACCATTTTCTCCTAAATGTCTGACCCAAGATTTACAATGAGCCACAGTGGGTAAAGAAGGGTGATTGAAATACGATTTTTTTTATGTAATATGTGTATATATGCATTTAACACAAAAATAAAAGTTCAAGTACTTACAAAAACTATTATTACTATGTTAAGACATGAAAATGTGAATTCGTCTATCGTTCTGAGAAGAGCCGCAGCCACGTGGTAAAAGAGCTGCACGTGGCTCGCACGTTGCTGACCCCTCCCCATAAGGTTAAAAAAACGGGTATTTATCACGTTGTGCGGAGTTTGGTCCCCACAAGGTAAGGTACATCTGGACCACAGACACACAGAGGCCTCATTGCTACCCACTGAAGCACCATACACTGCATTTTGCACATGCTGCACCCAAAAGTTTTTAAACTGTCTGTTTTGCATTCATCCTGTTGCCACTAATGACTGATTTTGGGTCACTTACGGCTGTCTCGTGCTTATTAATGTGTAGGAATTTTAATACCTCTTTATTTGCTGCCTGTTCACAGCCGAAGGAAGCGATGTCTCTGCCCAGGTTCTACTTGACAGACCTGGCCGTCAATGCAGAAGGACGTCAGCAACCCAGTTAGGAACTACGAGGGGAGGTTACATCGCCCGCTAACCAAACCTATATGCTCTGTGGTATGCTTAACTTTACCTTCTGCCCACTATCTATTTTTTTTTTGCAGTGCTTGTTGCTCAGGTTTGGTCATTTAGTGAACCTGCTGCGTGTCCAATGGTTTTTGTTTTCGCTGTTTTTGGCAGAGACGCTAATTGTACTGTACCTGTGGTTTTGTCGCGCGGGTTTTTCTGAAACATCGTGTTTTGAAGAGCGCAGACTTTCTATGCATGGTCGTATGTTTGTGATGCATGTGGAATTGTAGGTTTTGCACAATGATTTCGATTTCACTCTTGGTAATAAACTGCACCTTCTATGAATTGCCTGGCACTGAAAAAAAATGGAACAGTTGCAGTGTTCTATAGCGCCAGCAGATGGCAGCACGTAGTGGTGCTGGTAAATCAGATGGTGATTGGTATACAAAGACCAATGCGGTTCTCCCCTTATTTTCTAGTTCACATATAACCTAATCGAAGCTGCTTTTATATGAACTGCTAACAGTTATAGCTGATATCGAACAATCAAAATGACTTTCTTAACAGCAAATGGAAGAATGTTAACCTATGCCAAAACAATATTTTACGTCTAAGACAAAAAAATAAAGTAAAATAAAATAAGTGTATATGTCCAAACTGCTCTGCACACCTGGTGTATCTTTGATTTCCAGAGGGAAAGATACCTGACCTTCCCTGGAAATTTTATATCTTGATACTGACAGGTGTTTTCCAGCACTCAACAAACTAGATTTTGCTCCAGTAACAGTAAAACACTTTTTTTTGTTGTCCTTTGGGGCTTTTTAATGACTCATTTTAACGTAATTAAGTACAAAGTTGTTATGAAACAAACATCTCAAGAACAGAAGAAAACAATTTCTGGTACTTTTAACTTCTTATGAAAAGCAGAAGTGTTTGATGGGACAGTTTCATAAAATCTCATAACACAAGAAGAGTCTGGTGCTTCCTTGATAAATATTTATGCATCCCCGCCACATAGATAGTGCCCCCGCTTGCGGAGGCCCTGCTGTTCTCATCTCTGCCAGGGCTGGACTGCTCAACATCAGGTTCCAGTGACCTACTACATCACCGCAAATCCATGAAATGACAGCACACAGATGACTCAGCTGCCTGCGGATGAACATTTCACCTCTGGTAAGTTTGGTAGAATAGAAGAGATGTCATGCAAATGAGGTTTCATTTTAATGCATACAGGAAACTTAGCCAAATATAAAGAGGGCAAGGAAATCATGCATATGACACCAGCTAGAACATGACCCGACACGATTTGATGAGATAAAAGATAGGGTTACCAAACGTCCACGTTTCCCCGGCTCCTTTTGGGCCCCTGTCCGGGTTTCCGGGCAGTTTTTCAAAAATCGGCTTAGCACAGCAATCTGTATGACCCAGGGCTGCAAGTTAGGGTGGAGCACCAAGTGAAGGAAAAGACCTCAATATCCAATATATGGCAGCCACTCAACTTCCCGAAACCATTGGCACTCTGACTTTAATATTCACGAGAGAAGCGCTACCTGATTGATCAGTGAACTGAAAACTTATTAATATTCCGATCCTAGACAAGTCCTCTTTTTCATCTCACCAAATATGGTGACCCTATCCAAAGATAGATTATTTATGCAAATGTTCCTCTGAATCAAGTGTCGCTGTTGTTTCAGGGAAACCTGTTTTGCAAATGAAGGTATTGATCAGGTGAAAAAAGGAGCGCCTCACAAGGGGTCATGAGTCACGCCTGCCCTGCCCTTTCACTTTTTATTCTTCTTACCATCAAGCTGCGGGCAGGCTTCCAGTCTATGGTCACTATTCCTGCGCAGTTCTGCATTCACACACATTTCATTCAATCAGTCACCCATTGCCTTTTAAACAATATATTTATCTGGATGTTACAGACTGTTTCCATTAATTGTAGTATTTTATCAATCTGTCAGCCTGACGCCAAATTACATATCCTCTCCTGGTGCTTTAACTACTGTCCTGCTGTCTTCGTTATTCAGGTGTTTTCGCTGCCACACTGTCTTCGTAACCCAGGTGTCTTCACCGGGAAGCAGAAAGGCTTTATACGATCAGTAAGTCTTGTGGTCAGCTGGACAATATCCAGGAACCAAGGCTTCTCTGCAAGCGAAGCGAAACCAGTGCTGACAATTACTGGGAAAAGACCATGTCATTCAGTTTCATTTATTACAGACATATGTGAAAACCAGGCACTGTGGATTTTCTGTGTCTAAGATTAATTGGGGGGGGGGGGGGGGGTTAAATAAGGTCCAGATCACCAACACCACCACATACAAAGCAAAGCGATTCCAATTGAAGCAAAGACTTAATGATGCTTTGAGTTTGTAGAAAAATCACACTGTGATTTTGCTGTGGATTCAGCTTGGATTTGCAGTAGTTTTACAACACAAACAAGGTTGGGATTTATTTTGTAGAAGGAACTTCTGCAAGCCCCACAATATCCATTATTTAAAATGACAGGTGTCATCACATATGCTTATATTTATACATGAAAATATATCCATTGCTGTAAACGAATGGCATCATTACAAATGCCCCAGGATTAATCACTCAGCTTATGATACCTGCTATCAGAATGACTGGCATCGTTGGAAATGCCCCCAGGTGGAAATAAAGTCATAATAATTACTATAGTATAATAAATTATATTAAAATCGAGAAATTGATATATTCACTTTGTACAAATCAATTAAACTGCTTTTGAGTTGCCGTGACAACAAACACTCACCTAAAGGATTATTAGGAACACCATACTAATACGGTGTTTGACCCCCTTTC